TGCCCCCCCGCCCCCCCCGGCCGCAGCCGAGCGCAGCGAGCGGAGCTGGTGGCTCTCCTGGGAAAAGCGGGCTCCTTCTGTACTGGGGACCAGCAGAGCCCCGGGGCAGGACCCATGGGGTTTTTCCTTGGGGGTGAGGGTGGCACAGCAGAGAAGAGGCACCGTCCCCCGAGCGCTTTGCACGAGCGAGCGCTGGGGCACCGAGGCGCAGGCTGGCAGAGGTGGAACACAAACGACGTGCACCCTGACACGCAAAGCGATACGGGCACGCTGCCCGGCGCGTCGGTGAGCACACACGCGTGTGACGGACTGCGAAGGCAGAAGGTTCATCTGAACCCGTCAATTTCCCAACAAGAGCGTAAGGCAGCGGGGGCACGCGGCAGCCTCCGCGGTGTTGGCATCTCTGGGCGCTCATTTTGCTGCTGGGACTGGGGGGATCCCCGGGGGTGAAGTGACCCCCTGTGCCCGTTGCCCTGTGCTCAGCCTGACCCCCCAGCTGGGCAGCGGCCCCTGCCTGATGCAGCTGCTGCTTACCCAGATGTTGCTTGGAACTGCCCGTGTTGTAGCTCTGCCAGCAGCTGGCAGCTCTGCTCACCCATCCGGGGGCAACGTGTTTCACGGAACTGGTTTGCCATTTTAGTAGATCGGCATTTAAGTTCTTCTCCCACCCCCTCCCACATTTAAAATGAAAAGTCTATTTTAAAGCCCCCAGAATGGCATTTTAATGGGGCTTCTCTGCATTCCTCTGCTTTTAATAAAGGCCCGAATCGCGGGATGGGCGCCCAAGCCAGGGCACGGTGTATTTTCAGCGCAGCAGGTCGGGATTTGCTGCATCTCACTCCTCACTGTCATTCTGGAAGCTGAACTTCTGATGGGTCACGTAGAAAAGACCCTTCTTGGTGCAGCACTTGGTCAGTGACCCCCTGAGCTCGTTCCCTCGGGGACGGAGCCCAGCACCAGCATCACACCTGGGGGCTCAGGGTCCTGGGCTTTTTGTTCGTTTTGATAATGTTCCTCCCCTGCATCACAAAACAACTTTTTGTTGAACTTGATGTGTGTTAGTTTGTAAATTCGTGAGTTTCCAAGCAGCTGTGATGGTTTGGGGACCCAAGGGACAGATTCCTGACCCCCATGGGTGGCAGCATGGTGAGGTCCGGGAGTTTCTGCAATCCCAGACTCCAGAGTCACGTCCGTAGCCAAAACCCATGGGTGGTGTTTTTGGTAACGGGAAGGTAAATTGCCAGTGCTGCCTGTGTGACAAAACTGGAAGAAATAATCCCTTGAAATAGCCTAGGAGGGGAAAAAAAAAAAAGAAATTCAGGGTTTAAGCTGGTTTTGTGATGGGAGGCCTGGATGCATGGCGGGGGACCGGTGCTGGGTCGCCCCCATCCCTCGTGGCAGCAACTGAGCGCAGCATTGCAGCGATTCTTTCCGGGTGCTGGCATTGGCGCGGGAGGTGCCGGCAGCCCCTGGCACGGGAGCAATGCTGGGGCCAACCCTGCCCGCTTCCTGTCCCGCAGGTGCGGTGAGAGCGTCCAGCATCTTCCCCATCCTCAGCGTGGGTCTGCTGTTCTTCGGGGGCCTCTGCGTGGCCGCCAGCGAGTTCTACAAGAGCAAACACAACGTCATCCTCAGCGCCGGCATCTTCTTCGTCTCCGCAGGTAGGAGCTGCCCAGCGGGAGTGGGGCGGCTCTCCTGGCGTGGGAGGGCATGGGGGAGCCGGAGGTGGGTTGGCACAGAGGGATTCTGGGGTTCGTGAGCTGTCCCATCCTGGTGGAAAAGTCCTTCTGGCTGGGGAAAAAAGAGGATTTTGGCATGCAGTCATGGACTAGACAGCGCTATGAGCACTCACCTGCTCTGCCCCGAGCAGACTCCGTGCGGGTGCTGCAGCCCCCACTGGGG